TTCATAAAACATTCTCGCGGCACTCAATGAAATACGCAGCTATTTTTTCCTTTTCTTATGTTGTCAAGTAGCGCTATATAGTGTAATTAAGAAAAAATTCAAAATGTTTTTTAAACACTTGATTTTTTTCAGGGGAAAAAATGCAATCAAATCCGTTAGAATTTGTTAAAGGGAAATCAAACAAAAAACAAACTTATAAGCTTATTAATCTAGTAAACATTTTCCAGCAGAATTAAGGATCGATTAACTTTGCGAAATTAATCATTTTGTTTTTTGTGAGAATTTAGGTCAAGTATATTTTACTGAAAGATTAGAATAATGGCTCCATTTTTGACCTGTATTAGCTCCCAAACATTATTGTTCAATTTTGTTATGTACAGTCATCGAGAAATTTAATACATCTTTTAATTTTCATGTTATAAATGACAAAATATGTCACGTTAATGACATTTTTGGTTATTGAACAATAACAAAAATAAAAACCTGATTGAACTGAGTTCTTTAGTTAGCAAAAATAATTTCATTTATCATTCAATTATCAAAGATGCACATATCATTCTCTAGTCATTTGAAGAAGGTTAGTTTTATATATTTCTCCAATAATCCTTAAAGGGTAATGATTCATATTTAGTAGTTCTTATTTAAAACTCTTTGAATATCTTTCTTTCAAATAGTAACTTGTTCGTTTTAAGCACAATGTATTCTAAAAACTATCTGCGTTGTTTCCTTCCTTCCTTTTGAATCGAATTCCAGATTCTAATGTTATAAGACCTCAAACTTACAGCTGCGCCTCCGAGGATCTTTATCAATCAGCAAATGAAGAGGGTCAAGACTTGAAGAAAGTTTTATTCAATTATCCGAGAATTATTCCTTATTGGTATTTATTATAAACTCCTTTTTTCTTCGAATGATTGCGATATTTTTTACCTATTTTATGTCATCAGTTTTATCCTTCAGTAATGAGCTGCTTCAAGACAATTTCTAAGCTAATTTCTTTGGGAGGTGCTTTACATGTTTTGTTTCTTAGAGAAAATCTACAAAATAAACACTCGTAGTATGCAGTCATTCTATGTGATTGGTACCATGTACATTTTTTTCATTTATTTGAATATATGCAGTTTTAATAAGGAACATGGAACAAAGAAGTCGCTAAGTTCCCTTTGACGCAGCTACCTATTGTTCTAGGCCATTCTCCTAAAGTAACACGTTGACTTTCCACAGAAAGAAGACTATAACGTTGAATGTAGGCTGTGAGCTTTTACACTGGCTTTTACACTGATTATATAACCTCCTATATTTTCTAATAGGAATGATCAATGGCACACGTGCCTTGAGTGGGACGGTATTATAGAATTTTCTTTATAATATTATGCACTTTCGGTTAGCTCTTTATCTCTCTCAAGCTTAAGCTCTCAGTTTGGTAAGTGAAGTTTAAGTCCTTTTTGTATATAGTAATACTTTCCTAAAATTTATTCTTTTAAGCTAACTAGTTCTCGATAAGCCTTTTAAAAAAATCTTAAGAGAGTTTAGAGAGTGAATTATCTAGTAAAGGTACTATCTCTCGTTTTTTGCTCTTTTCAACTTGCAATAGAAAATTTAACTGTAATGATACTAGTGTTAACCTACCAAAATTGCTATTGAATGAAATAGAGACCAAACAAATTGTTGAAAACGTGTAGCACTGTAATATACCATTTTATCTACATTTTACTTTGTTGGAAACAAGAACTATCACACATTACCTATAAGCAAACAGCGACAGAGCCTTGAGGAGTGCTACAAATCCAAATTATTTCCCGCTTTGCTTTCTTATACATTCCAATGTGGATCAACTGGATTGTAATCATGCCTCTAATATGGAATATTTAAACAACATTAAGTTTTTATCACCAGCTGAAACTTTTCTGAACCTTCACATGCTACTGCTTTAGAATAATATACCTTAGCAATAATCTCTAAATTTCTATTTAATTGTTATATACAGTAGCTATTTTGCATAATTAAAATGGCTAGTTCGATAATTAACCATTGTGTCGGAAAATGAGTATAAGAAGGTAGATCGTGGCGACCCCTCTCTTATGAAATTAACATTACATCATTGCAAACAATTTATATGCTGTAAACTTTATAGTGTGATATAGTCTGATTCTTTATAATAAGAGTCTTTTTCTATTGGAATCCTGTAGTCGCTCTTTATTGATCCGTGATGTTCATTTTAGAATGGAAGATTTGTTTGTTGTTTATCATTTAGCACAAAGTTACACAATGGTCTATCTCTGCTCTGCCAACCGCGGGTATCGAATCGGTTTCTAAGGTATTTGTCCACAGACATGGCCTGGCCAGGTAGTTAGGGCACTTGGCTCACAATCTGCGAGTCGAGAGTTCGAATCCCCGTCTCACAAAACATGCTCGCCCTTTCAGCCGTGTAAGTGTTATAATGTGACGGTCAATCCCACTATTCATTGGTAAATGAGTATCCTAAGAGGTGGCGGTGGCTGGTGATTACTAGCTGCCTTCCCTCTAGTCTTTCACTGCTAAATTAGGGACGGCGAGCGCAGATAGCCCTCGTGTAGCTTTGCGCGAACTTCCAAATAAACCGCAGACACATCACTGTGCCACTGGGGGACAGGAATGGAAGAAAATTAATTTGTTTGTAAATTCGGTAACTTTTTCCGACCTAACATTTTCAGTACTCGTGTTTTATTTAATTTTTTAAGAAGATTAGACCATTGAATAATAAGAAAAAGACGCCAGTTCGAAAACCTATTTATCACAAATATCACTTTATTTCCGTTAGATGTCGCTGCTAAATATTTTAGGGAATGGGTTTTCGCTTGATATCTACAAAAACAAAGCATATAGACCAAGGTTTCCCAAACTTTTTTGAGTTGTCGACCTCTTGACGAACTTATAAAGTTGTCATCGACCTTAAATTCTTAGAATATATATTATAAATGAATCTTTATTTTCAAGAAACTTCAATATATATATATATAATCAACTTTTACTTATCATAATGCAATCGTTAGGAAACATAAAATGTAAAAAATATTGAGGTTTAAATTTTCTCTAATGAGATGGATGGACCTGATGGGCTTTAACGAGCTTATGAATAAGGACTATTTTCGTCCCCGAGGTTTATATGTACCCCTATACAGTGTCATCTGAAGAAATATGTATGACAAAAAAAAATGCGATTAATAAAAATAAAAGTTGACTATATATATAAAACTAAACATTCCTCAGAACAATAAGTATGATATTCTTATATGACGTGAGATCATGGTTGTGAAATCAGTGATTCTGTGAAACAGTGACGTCATTATGATACTATTAAACTATCGATCTGCTGTATGACATGATGTTTTTTACGTGAGATCATGGTTGTGAAATCAGTGATTCTGTGAAACAGTGACGTCATTATGATAATATTTAACTATCGATGTGCTTATTGTAGTGGCAGACATCAAACTTGCCAGTGAATTCTGGAAGCGTTAGGCTTTTTATAAAGTAATGATGTCGTGAACCTCGTGGTTTATCTAAAGATAAGAACATTGTCCGTCTTGAGAGTTCTTCAACACATTCGAGCTATTTTTACCCCGATGTTACCTAAAACAGCGTTATTGAACTTTCTGTAATAATTACTTGTAAATCCCGTTACAGTATCGCTCGTCCTAAAATTAAGCAATTGCATTTTTTTTTCGAAATCTGTGCTCAAATTATCGATATTATAGTGGTGTAACTTTGTTGTGCATATTGTATGTAATACATGTGATATATCGTGTTACGCAACACTCCAATGAAATGAAAACATGTTAAGTGCAATATTTTAGTTCAATCACATGTACTTGGACTCTAACTAATCCAGAATAATTGTGTAAACTGTAAGGGTATAAACTGGTCATTGCTATTACCTGGATTAACTTCAGTAGTTTTATCAGCTCAGTTTTTAAAACGGTTCCAAGTAACTTGCACAATGAAAGACATTTTGATTTAAATATCAATGAACTAGTTTGCACGTGTTTGACCAAGGCAGTTAGTTCGCTCTCTCAGTAGATGTCATGATTCATTCAATAATTTTATTAAAAATTATTAGTTAATTTTGTTAAAAACAATCGATTTTTGTTTTTGGAACATACCTTAGCAATACAACAAATCTGTAACTTAGCAACGCGATGTTGAGCAATTAATGTGTATATGTTTTGCTACAAGATGTTTATTTTGTTTTTGGAACATACCTTAGCCACCTGATGCAATACAACAAATCTGTAACTTAGCAACGCGATGTTGAGCAATTAATGTGTATATGTTTTGCTACAAGATATTTATTTTTGTTTTTGGAACATACCTTAGCCACCTGAT